GGACGTCTGCGACACCCTGATCCACCGCATTGCCGTGAAGCTGGTTCGCGTGACTGTGCGGAAGGCGGAGCTGCGGGACGCGTGTGAGGCGGGCGGTTTTGGGGCGTTGCTTGGCACACTGGATACGCGCGGGTCCTCGCGGCCGAGCTGGCCTTCGCCCTGCTGGTTCCGGTGCTGCGAGACCAGCTACGGGGCGTCCTTGAATCCGAGCGACCGTCGACGAGCGACAGCACGATAGTTGTGCGCCGTCCGCCCCCTGGTGTTTTTCGCATGTAGTGTGTGCGTGTGCTCCCCCGGCCTTGCATGTGTGCGCCGCCCGTGCCTCCCTGCTGTGGCGGCAGTGGCTGCCGCGCGGGGCACCGCGTATGCCAGTGTGCGTTTGCATCTGCATGAGCACGTGTTTCGCTGCGTTCACATCCTTCGCGCGTGTGTCTGTGTGCTTGTTTGTTCATTCCTCGTGGCCTCCTTTGCGTTCCGTGCGTGGTGTGTCTTTATTTTATGTGTTGACGTAGCAAGTTTTTTTTGTTTTTGTTTTTTGTTTTTTCGTTCAACTTGCTACTTCCACGCCAACAGAGGGAGTGTCACACGTGTAAGCGTTACTTGCGAAGGGACCCACGGCTGCGGCTACTGCGCGGATGAATCCCATCTACGTGCTGGTGGAGTTGGAGGTGCGGCGAAGGGGCCTGGGGCGGGAGGCGGGGAGTGTGCCGCAGCAAGCGGGGGAGGGGCGGGAGCATCGGGCGTTGGAGATCGCTGGCGCCATTGAGGCAAAGCAGGAGCTGCTGCTCCGGTCGCTGGCGCAGCGCTTCGTGTACCCTGCCTCGGAGTACCCGCCCACGGCAGAGCTGGCGGCGGCGGCGGCGGTGTTCACGAGCCTGCTGCGGGACGCTGTGCTGCGGGGGACACTCGTGTCGCTCTACCACGTCCCGGCGGACGCCTGTGTGCCGCGGCGAGGCGGCGGCGGCAAACTGCCGGGTGGTCAGTGGGGCGCCGACGGCAGTTGCAGGCGCCAGCGTGGGGAGGAGAAGCTGCGCCGGCGCCCCGCCGCGTGCGGGAGTTTGGTGGATGTTTTTGGTGCAATTTCGGCGAGGCTGCTGCGGGAAACTCACGCGAGGCCGAGCGCCGAAGGCGAGCACACGCCCTCCTTTGAGCAGTGGGACGCGGAGCTGCAGGCGGCGCTGCACAGTGTGGGGGACGTCGTCGGCAAGGCACACGGCGAGCTGCTGGTCGCGCTCAACGCCCTAGGCGATGGCCGGTTCCCGCACCTGACGAGTGGCAGTGCGACACCCGAGTGCCCGCCGCTGTGGACGGAGCTTGTCCGCCTCTTTGAGGATGCGTTCGAGTCCGTCTTGACCGACACGGTGCGGCTGATGCTTTGGTGCATGCACCAGCACCTCCTGGGCCGCGAGGGACTGGCGGTGCGCCCACTCTTCACGGTCAAGGCTCTCTGGTCGTACTCCGCAGCCGGCGTCGTCACGTGCCCGCTGCCGCAGGAGCTGCACGAGCGCCTCATGCGCCGCAGCAAGAAGGAGCTGATATGGATCGTCGTGCCGGAGTTTCGCCTGAGCCAGATGACGAAGCGGCAGGTGCCGATGCTTGGGCGCGTCAAGCGGCCGATGCTGCGGCCCACGTTCATGGAGGATGCGGGGAATAAACGTATGTGGGAGGCGATGCACTACGCCGCGAGCCGGCGTTGCGACGAATTACAGGAGGCCCTGGGGGGCCTAGCCGGCATGTACGCCTTCTACTTTGCGCACGAGGAGGAGTACTACGCCCAACTGGGTGCACAGCGCCTGCGGGAGGCGGTGAGTGCGCTGCGGAACGACTACGCCGGTCTCGTGCTGCCTGTTGGCGCTGGCGTCCTCGCAGTGCAGACGGAGGTGCTGCAGCAGTCGGCGCTAAGCAAACTGGAGCCCGCGCTGACATCCGCACTCATGGCTGCTGGGCAGGTGGCGATGTGCGGCGATGGGGGCATGACGGCGTCGCGGTGGGGGGCACTGTTGGACGCAAAGGTTGACGCTTCACCCGCGGCCTCGTTGAACGCGCGGCTCAGCGCCTTTCGTGCGGGGCGGAAGGTCCACAACAAGTACGACAGGGGCCTCGAACCGGTGGCGCACACGGCACGATTTCTGGAGGAGCAGCGGGCGGAGGTGCAACGCCTGCGGCACGGAGGCACGCCAACGGTGAAGCGGGAGGCGCGGCAGGCAGAGGCACAGCGGAGCAACGGCAATGGCCCCAGCGAGGCCGGCAAAAAGGCCGCGGTGGTCGCCGCGGCCGCGGCGGTTGCCAAGTGCCAGGACAGGTGGGTGTCCCCAATGAACGCGTCCCCTACACTCAACAAACCGGGCACGCAGGCGGCAAATGTGGACGTCGCGGCAGCAGGGAAGCTGCAAGGTCGTGGGGCGAAACCGTCAGCAGGTAGGTTTGCGACGATTGCCCCGGCAAAGACGCGGAGCACGCGGGAAGAGGAATCACCGCCGCGCTCCACAACCCACGTGTCCCCCACACAGCCACAGAGCGGCGGCGTGAAGAGGCAGGTGCCGAGCTCCCGGTCAGGGGGAGGCCTTGAGGGGCAAATGCCCGACATGAAGGATCAAGCGCCGCGCGGTAGTCAGCAGGGCAGCAAGGCTGTGGCGCCAGCTAGGGATCCCGTCGTGCAGAGTCGGCCGCAAGGGCGACAGACGGCCGTCACGAACGAGGGCGGCAGGAACAAGCGGTGCGAGGAGCAGGAGGGGCCGGTGCCCACGGGGCCCGTCGTGCAGAGTCGGCCGCAGGGGCGACAGACGGCCGTCACGAACGAGGGCGCAGGAACAAGCGGTGCGAGGAGCAGGAGGGGCCGGTGCCCACGGGGCCCGTCGTGCAGAGTCGGCCGCAGGGGCGACAGACGCCCGGTCACGAACGAGGGCGTCGAGG